TAGGCTTTAAATCAAAATAGCACGTCTGACTGGTTGTGTGTCCCTTTTTTTTTTTTTTGCCACAATTTTAGTTTTACTTAATTTTTTCCTTTGTCATTGCTTCGGTGTGTTTTTTCTTTTGTTTGGGCTTTCATATATATTTTTTATATAGTTTTTTGCAAATTCAAATTTCCCTTGTGCTTCTGGCACTGTTTAGTTCTAGTGTTGGATGCACACATTACAATCTAATTATACAGTATTCTAATCATATCATCATAACATGCGTTATGATACAACATGCTTGGGCACATTGTCTGTATCGTGCTGATGCAGTGTCAACTTTAAAGGAGAACTGTGAGGTGAGTGAAATTCACTCATCCTCATAGTTCGAGCCGACGTGTGACAATGAAACTGTCGCAGGTCGGCTCAATAGATCGGGAAGTGAGCGAACACATACCGTCGCTCGCTCACTTCTCGATCCTGTCCCTGCAGAGAGCCGTGACTGTCACTCACGGCAGTATATACCGCGAGCTGTAGCTTGCGGTATACTGCGCTTTGGGTGACGGACAGACGCTAGTTTGTGTCCTCCCGTGACCCTTAGGAGAACTATGGGGAAAAGCACTGACCTCATAGTTCTAATTTTAACATAAAACAACTAGCAAAATGTGCCGGCTCCCTTAATTTAGAATGTTTTGGTTCATTTTATAGCTGACCGCACACTGCTCGAATTGTGACCGATTCCTACCAAGTCTGCTGAAATGTGAGTCGGCAACGACGAGCTTTTTTTTATTTATATTTTTTTCCCAGCCGACTTTTGTCTGTAAAAAGGAACCTGCAGCTACTGGATACAGTTGTCCGGCAGGCAAGGTTCCCCCATCCACGCGGTTTTTAAGTACTGGCTTTGGTTGGTTTGTAAGAATGGGGGTCCACCTGGCTTTGGCCTACGTAGACTAGGGTTACCTTGCCCCTGTAAGAATCCTTACACCCTGGGGGTCCAGGGAATCTTCCTCTTCAGAGGAGGACCAAAAGCACCCTCGTAAACCTTTTTAGTTCACGGCATTTAAAAAAAAAAAGGTGAAATCTTTTTATTTTTTAACCGCTGTCATATTTACCATTACTAAATGTCATTATGTCTTTAGACTTTTTTATTTTGTGGGATAATGGTTTCACTAGACAGGAAATAAGGGAAGAGAACAAGAAGACTGGCAGCAGTAAAAATCTGACAGTGGCATATGTGTGGTGGCGGGGTCACTTTAAGGGCTTTGTTTTGGGATGCTTTAGATGTCTGGCACTTTTAGTTTAGGAAGTTAAGATCAGAAATTATGTGATTAGTTAAGATTGTTTCAGGGTTTAGGTTGGAGTTTAGGGGTTAGGTTTGATGGTCAGATTTGAGGTGCTAGTTAGGGTTACTTGATAGTTGTGGGACCCTACTCTTTGCTGTTCTCCTGGGATGGGGATGAGATTAGCAGGCAGTGCAATGTACTTTGACATCCTCATCATGGACAGACTGCATTGCGACATCAAACGTTTTAGCAAGTACAGTATTCTGTTTGGTTAAACCTTTAACAATCAGATTTTACTGTTGTCAAAGAGTGTATTTAATCTGTAAAACATGAACTCTGGTCCTTACAGAGTACTGGACAGTACACATATCATTTTACCTAAACAAGTAGGCCAATTTGAGTATAATAAAGTATTTATATTGCCCAACTCCTCCCCCTGTCACGGCAGAGAGCCGTGATAAATTCGAGAGGTGAGCGAACCCGGTATGTGTTCGCTCACCTCCCGATCTACTGAGCCGACCTGTGACAGTCTCATTGTCACAGGTCGGCTAGAACTATGAGGTGAGTGGAAATCGCTCATCTCATAGTTCTCCTTTAAGGAGCATTGGCTACCTGACATCTGTTATTTTTCCAGCCCTGACCTAAACAATCCAGATTGTACAATCAGATGGCAACATTTGTGGCCAACTTTACTGGGTGACCAACATACACCAACCGCTAACCTGTATATGCATTTTGCATAAAATAACTGCGGGGGGGGGGGAATCGGAAAGAATTAAAAAGAAAAAAAAAAGGTTTGTATGTCTCTACAATATAGTGAGTTACTAAAAGGTTTAAAAAAAGCATATCTACTTATGGTTTCATACAATCTTATACCATTTTAAGAATACATTTAATGCTATAAGACCCACAGAGTTTAGGTTTTCTGTGCAATTCTTTGTAAGCCTAATACATATCTGATTGTGTTTTTAAGGCCTCATTTACATACAACGCAAGAGCAAAATTGTACGCACCTTTGTAAATGTGTATAGGTGCGTATGTATGCACGTATATGCGTGAACTGTATGCAATCCCAGAATGCATCATTTTTAACAGATTCTATTCGGACATCCACATCCTGATATTTCTCTAAATCTTTTAAATATTATGTGATTAAATATTATGTGCCTAATGTTGTTTTTTTTTAAATGTTATTTGTGAATAATCTGTGCTTCCATCATCCCACCGGAATTTGCTACCGTCACGCAGTTTTTATTCTGCTGAAGCAACATTACCATAGCAACAGACCAGTCAGCAATTGCTTGAGATTTCCCTGTTAACCCTGAAAATATAGTCAACGTAATTAGATTATCTGCTAAATGGTGCAAATGACAACAGGGATGTCCAATACCAGATGCTGGTGGGATTTGGGTGACCTCAGATTACCGGTGAACAACAACTGTCAACACATTCTGCCATGCCCATCAGTATCCGGATTAATTGTGTCCTGTGCTCTCCTTGTCAGTAAGCCTGCATAGACACTTCCCATCCAATCCAAGTCCCTAAAACACAATGAACAGTGGTTGTCAATTTACTAGATATAGGGAGCTTAACTGCGGCCCCTGACATCAGCAAAAGGCCATGCAATAATTGTCTGCATATGTGTGCTAGAGAGGACCGTCAGAAACTGCAGACATACTAGAGGGGAAAAAATGGTTATAGACTGTGGACATACTACAGGTGTGATGGACGATTTAGAGAGCTACTGCAAAATACCGTGAGAGACTAAGGACATAAAGACAATTGCATCATTCTGTCCATTTAGTGTGAGACAAGCCTGTCATGGACCCACCTTCTGGGGGTGCATCATTGTTCAGGAGGAAGGCCCGCCATGGCTGAGGATGCAGAGGAAGCTTCCATGATCGGGGTGGACATGGGTTGGGGGATATGTTTCAGGGAGAGGAAGCCAGCAATTGAAATGGAAAACTCCATAGCTGGAATTCTGCTTCCTTTGCTTATGCATTTTGTTTATCATTTGCTCATGCTGAATTGTCCAGCTATATGACAGATTTACTTATTAAGCCATAAATAGAAGAAAATTGGACTTGGATTGCACAAAATAGCACAGTTGCTCCATTTGAATTCCCCAACACAGTTTGAAAGCCTAGGCTTAGGCCATGACCCACAGGTTATAAAGTCCTACATTGGCATGCCCTTAACCAGTTGGTTTCACTGCCGACAGCAGTTCTGAAATATGAGCTGAAGAGCAGAGATATGTGCTGGGATTCTTTTACTGTGAATGAGTCTGATGACTACTGTGGAGCCAGGAGCTGTGTAATGCTTCACTGCTTTTATCTTAATCTCCTCTGACAGATATGTGTAATTACTGAGAATATTTAAACCGTGCAAATAAGACTTATTTCTTTCCTTTTTAAAAAGAAAGATTTTCTGGATTTCCAGAAATCATCCTTGAAAAGTCTGCAAGCAATTCTTCATCCATTTGCTTTAATTAATTTCCTTTTCAAGGAAAATCATCACTATATGGCAGCAAATGCTAGCTGGGCTGCATGGCGTGAAGGGTAATAGGACACAGACTATACTTTGTATTCGTTTTTGTTTTTTTCTGGTACTAGCCGATACCAGAAGCCCCATTAAGGAAGTCGGGCAGCGTGTAACTACTTAACGCCTGGCTTCCCGTTTAGCCGAGAAGCCGTCTTCATGCTCCCTGGTCACCAGGTGACAAGGAAGCATGGAACCAGCTTTCTGACCAATAAGGCAGCCGGGGGCGGGTAATGATTCGCCCTGCCCGGCTTCCTGATACTGGGATGTTTCGGTATCTGGATAGGCATCGGTAGCATTTGGGCGAGTACGAGTACTCACCCAAATACTCAGTATCGGTGCATCCTTAATTAAAATGAATGTATTGTGTTTGTATGTGTTTTTCTTTTATTATGGTTCGTAATAAAAAGGTAACTGAAATATTTTTTTTTTCTCTTGTAAACACATCTAATATTCCTATTGTAGTCTTTTATCCAGCCAGCAGGATGGGTTAGTTTAACGTTTCAGTTAAATGAGACAAAGGCAAGTAGCTGCTGTTTAGTCTTCTTGGATAACCCATAGTGCGCCAGTAATTCTTTGTCCTACATTAAAAGTTTAGAACCCCTTATGTCACATGCAAAAACACATTTATGGACCCAGTCACGCTTGCCCATTTTGCCCTTTATAATATGATATTCAGCATTTAGGTAGGTAGTAGGTAGAGTTGTTAAAGGATCCAGTTATAAAGTTGTGACCATACTGATAAAAAAGGTTCATAATGCTGTTTGCTTTACAAATGTGTAAAGCCCAATTCAAATAAATGTAGGTAAAAAAGGAAACGGGAGGAGGAGAGGGAAGTCAGTTAAAGTGTCAGTCACTACTGCCTTTTAGGTAGTACCATGTGACAGGTTATTGCTTTTTTAATCTCTCCTTTGTCACTGGCAATGAATAAGTAAAATGTGCAAAAATTTCCATGGTCTCCAAGTATTTGGGATGCAGGTATCAGCCTCCTGATCATTTCGAGTTTAATCTTTTTTGTTTTTCTCTTTTCTGTGTAGCTGTCTATTCTTAAAATTTCCTTGTAATGACTCCATATTTTGTGACCATTTTAACAAAACGGAAAGCCTATATTAACTGTAACATGGCAGACCTCTGAGTTTTTCTGCTTTAAGTTCATTTTTTAAATCAAAAATACATTTCTTAATATTTGCTGTTTTACAGAAAATGTCCCAAAAGAACTTCAGGAACCTTTCTACACAGATCAGTATGACCAGGAGCATATGAAGCCTCCAGTAGTGAACCTTCTACTTTCTGCAGACTTGTACTGTCGGGCTGGTAGCCTTATTCTTAAGAGTGACACTGCCAAGCCTCTTCTGGGCCATGATGCAGTCATCCAAGCCTTGGCTCAACGAGGGCTCTATGTTACCGACCGTGAAAAACTGGTGACGGAGAGAGACCTGAGAAAGAAGCCTATTCAGATGGTAAGATTCATATTCAGATGGTAAGATTCATAAATATATTTGCCAAGTTTATTTTGGTGGGTTTATAGAAAATGGTTTTTGGTTGGGCAAATGTTTTATTATGTAAAGGCACTGTTCCGCCATCCTGAGACAAACTGCCGACCACTGGATCCATAAAGACAACCAGGTGCAATGTGAGACTGTGTCTAGGCGAATAGATACATGGGAGGTGAACTATGGACCTTTCGGGGTGCAGTTTTATCAGTCAACAATAGCAATCAGACAAGCTTTTCCAGATTGTTTTAATCCTATTTCCCTGATGAACAGGATGGGATTTTCATCACTGGAAGCAAAAGGAACACGCATTTTAGCATCCTAGTTAACACCTCTCTGCTAGGGTCACCTGTTTTACCTTTCTTTATCTTTTACATAAGCTTATATGAGATGCCTCTTCCTAGTTATGATGGGGAAAACATAGGTGCCGAATAATGACACATGGGAAGGTGCCTCTTCACCTCTGTCAACTATAGGTGCATATCTACTATGCCAAGTGGTAAATTTGTCCCTGCTGACGAGCCACGAATGGTGTTATCTAGGGATGCACTGATGCCGATACCAAGTATTTGGGCAAGTACTCGGCCAAATGCGCCGATTCCTAACACAATACCCGAATATCAGGAAGCCGGGCACCGAGTCATTACCTGCTGCCCGGCTTCCTGTTTGGCTGGGAAGACGGCTCTATGCTCCCTCGTCACTTTGTGACGAGGGAGCAAGGATCCGGCTTTCCGGCCAATCGGGAAGCCAGGCAGCGTGTAATGACTAGCCGCCTAGCTTCCTGGTTGGCCAGAAAGCCAGCTCCATGCTCCTTTCTCACCTGGTGAGGAGGGACCATGGAGACTACTTCCCTGCTAATCGGGGAGTCGGGTGGCGAGTCTTTACATGCCGCCTGGCTTACCAGCTAATCAGGAAGCCAGGTGGCAAGTCATTACACGACGCTTGGCTTCCTTAATGGGACTTCCGGTACCTGTTTTCGGTATCAGCGAGTACCGTAAAAGAAGTATTGGTACTCGATACCGAAAAACTGGTATCGGTGCATCACTAGTGTTATCTGGCTTGGACCTATAAGGCCTTGATCACACCAAGCGCGGAGCAGATCCAGACCAGAGCAGGTGCAGACCGGATCAAAACTGCGTCCAATGTATTCTTATGGTATTTTGACCTCCAGTTCACATCGCAGCGTGCAGATCCAGGCCAAGATCCAGACCAGATCCAGAGCAGGTGAAAAAACTGCGACAAGCCATATTTTACCTGCTCTGGATCTGCTCTGGAACTCATCAAAAACGCATGCAAGTGCCTGAAAGCCCATGTTAAACTTTTTTTTTTTTTTTACCAAAACCGGCCCGGAACGCGTCAAAAACGCGGCACAACCCACTGCACTGCGTGTGCAGAAACCTGACCGGATCTGCTCTGCATTTGGTGTGAACAAGGCCTTAGGCAGTAGATGATCTGAGACTGTTATTCTGTGTCTATGGGCACCTTTGGGTAACTATACATGAAAAGTTGTATTAGAAAGTGAAGACTCACCAGAGAGTTATTATTGTCTAGTGAGTTAATGTTTGTTTCAGATTCATATCTATAGAGCGAAGGTTGGAACTTTGCAGCCAGTGGTGCTTTGTGAGCAAAATTTGGGAAGGTTTCAGGTTATGAACTGTAGAATATGGCATGCATGTTGATGAACCTCATTGAATATTTAGTGATCGTTAAATCATTTCCTGATATCTAAGCTCTTTCCAATCTGTATGTACAACTTGGATATGGGGTAGAATGTATATTTTGGGGTTTTTTTGTTGTTGTTTTTTTAAGTGGTTCTTTCATAAAATTAAAAGTTCTACTCTGCTCCCAGCCTCCCAAATACAATTTAAGCCCATTTTTGGGTACAAGAAAAAAAATAAAATGCTTGTTAAGTCGAGGGGTAGAGGGATAAAGAGAAATACTTGCCTTACTCCTCTCTCTGGCATACTTTCTCCATCTTTGTGATCAGTCCCTCAAAGCCTCCTATCTAAAGTGCTCCCGGCCGTAGTTGCCCGCCTGCCTTCTCCACGTGCAATGCAGGGCTAATAGCCCTGCATTGTATGTAAGGATGCTGAGGGACCACTCACCATCAGAGAGAAGAGGGCAGCGACGGAGCGGGAGTTAAGTAGTAATGGCTCTTACTCTACCCTTTAGACGTGAAGTGCATTTCACTCTTGCAGTGAGGAGGGTAGCCCCACTGACAGGGGGGGG